CCCAGAGCTGCCCCAATTGCACACTGTGGACCCAGCAGAGATCCCATTACCGAGGAGCAGGGTAAAGTGCCCGCAACAGAGCCTGCCCTGACAGATTTCAAAGGCGATCCAGAGACTTCGAGGTATATCTGCCGCGTCCGCATGCCTAGAAGTCCCTCTCTATTCTTCCTTCAGTTATAGACTTCTTGTACTTTCTTTCGTTTAGACTTCTAGAGTTAGAACACTATGTATTTCTTTAGCTTGTGATTCATGAGATTCCGGATTTTGGGAGTGATATGGTCAGTTGAGAGTGTTGTTGTTGTATATGTCAAGCGGCATTTTAAACTCTTTTATTATATCACCCGCAAATGGTTAGTTTCTTATCTTTATTTCATATTTCCGCAAATTGTTAGGCTTACCTAGTCGTAGAGACTAGGTGCCGTCACAACAGTTCACGGAGGGAGAACTTGGGTTGTGACACATTGCTCCAACTTACCGAGGATATCCCACGATAGAAAGGTGTGGAGGTCGAGGACTAAGATTGTGGATTGACAAATAGTAGTGTGTTCCTCCTAGGCTTAACTAGGACTAATTTTGTATGATCTTATTCATGGTTCTTTACTATTATTTTTAGTGTCATTCACCTCATTACCATAATATATTGTTGTTACTATTGATTGCTATTTGTTGCTTTATCTCTAATTTTTTTTGAGCCGAGAGTCTATCGAAAACAACCTCTCTATCTCTATAAGGTTACGTAATGTGTGCGTACACACTAACCCAAACACCATTTATAGGAATACACTAGGTTTGTTGTTGTTGTTTCCTTTTCTTCTATCTCCCCTTATCTCTCCCCTTATCTTATCAGACCATAGGTTGAACCTCCTTTTGCTTTTCGTTTTTCAATATATTTTTAAATAATATTATTCGATTAATTGTACAAATAATATAGCTGATAACATCAGTGAAATAAAACACAAATTTAAATTAATCAAAAATATATATTTTGGATAAGCTTTTTCATAAAATATTAGATTTTTCACATTACTTGACATTATGATCAAGATAAATATTATATTAAAATTAGTGATGCACATTTAAAATTTTGGATCTGTTGGGACTTGGGTAAACCTTGTTTTGGTTTTTGACCAGTGAACTAAGCTAATTATATATCAAGAAGTATAATTTAAAGGGAAACTTACACAAATGTCCCAAATAAATCTCAACTTACCAACCTCTAGCCATTAGTCATAGACTTATCAAAATTAGCCAACAAAAAATTGGAAAACCAAATAATAGAGTTCTTTCTCTCAAAGAATCACATGCAAAAATCACCTTCCATATTTTTAAGCGTGATTAGCAACATTAGATACAAGACGGAAAGGAAATTTCATGGACGGGGTAGCAAATAAGGTGATGAAATACAAAAATCTATACAATATTCCAAAAATCTAAACAAAAAAGGAACTTTTTCAATGGGTATAGTTGACATTCATTGAAAATATGTAGATAAGTCAATATACAAAATTTGAGGAAGATTGGAGGTGATTTGGACTGGTTTTGTATCAAAATTCGTAATTAAATCGAGTTCAAAAAAGTCTTCTGCGACACATGTATCAAACATGTATCTCACACACAGGTATACATGGATATATATGTGATACACAATTGATACAAATATGATACATATGTGATACACAGTGTGATACACATATCATTTTTTTTATGTTCAGCTTTTACTTCGAATTTTCATTTCAAACAACCTCAAAACTTCACCAAATCATCCCAAAACTGAGATTCAAGCTCCTTAAGTTGTGCCCAATCTATTCTAATAACACTCACTCAACACAAAGCAAAAATTTGATATTTTTTTGCTACAAAAAGCTAATTGGCTAATTTGACTAATATTAGTAATATTTTATCAATTGGCCAATTTTTATAGTGAGCTACTTATAAATGGACATAGCTGGTAAATTCCCTAATTTAAAGAGGCAAATAATGGGTTGAAAAAACAATAGACCTGACCTTGAAGTATAAATTTTCAAATCTGTATAACCGAAATTCTATGTTGCCGACTAACGACACCTTGCAAATAACCGAACTAATTCTTGTGGCAAAAGCCACCAAAACGGTGCCGTGTACACCTCGCCTTCCTCATTAGACTTCCATGAACCCCAGTCCCTTGTAGCTGATATTCAGTAGAAAAGAATCTAGCACAAAATGGTGCTTAACCCCTATAATTTCTTGCCCCAGAGGTTTCAGTTCTAAGATTCCCAATTTTATTTTAGTCCCTTTACTTCTCATATTTTGTCAAGTTAGTGCTAATACAAAAATGCAAGTGTCCAGGTTTCTCTTGAATTCAATTAAGAATCGCTCTATACAGACCCTGAATTCGTATAAAAGGTAATTAGCTGCATTTTGTAGAATCTGAACAGTGTTGAAAGTTTATGGGTTTTGTCTTGTTGAATTTTTATGGCTCTGATCTTTTATGAGCATTTCTAATGTCGTTGAATTATGGATTGTGGTATATAGTTGATTTAGTTATTCTTTATTTTAAAATCCAAACCATGTGATAAATTCAGATATGCTTCGTGTGTTAAATTCAAATATGCTTTTTGTAGCGTGATAAATTGAAATATGCTTTCTGTAGTGTAACTAATTCAAATATGTTTTGTGTAGTCTGTTAGCATGTTAATAATCTACTTAGATTTTGAAAATGACGCTACATAGTAGATGAAAATTTGTGAGAAGAAAGTTCCCTTGATGAACCTTAAACTCTTAACACTATGGTTGCTAGTTGAAAATTCTCCAGTTTCACTTTCTTAGCAAACCCTAGAAATGACGCCCCTCCTATCTTCACCAAGACCAAGCATAGCATTATGAGAGAACAAAATGTTAGTGTTAAAAGCTCTAACTGTGATTATTCTTGATGTTTGGGTGAAGAATAGGAGAAATGAATTTCTGATGAATACAGTGGTTCTCGTGTTCTTTTGCATTCAATATGGTTGACTTGGAGCTAGTAACATCTATCTCCTAAAATTTGAATGCTAGAAATATTAATTTTGAGTATACCTCTCTCTGCAAAGAAGATAGTGAAAAGGAAACAGAATTTGAAGTATCTAGGTAAAAATCCAATCATATGACTTGTAGACACATGGAGTATGTGTGACATTATCATTAAGGTTGCTTTTAGATCTGATTTGGACTACAAGATGACTTACTAATGTTCCTTTGGATGAACCTTTGTGGTTAAGGAGTCTTATAGACTTAAAACTGGTCTAACCTAATGAGTCACTTGTGGTGTCTTGGGTTCATGAGTTTCAGTTGGTAGCACGGGAGGCTGTCTTGGTTAGATAGATTAAACAAGAGACTTGGAGGGCACCTTATAGGAAACTTTGTGAAGTTTCGGTTTATGCATAACTCATAGTTGACCTGTTCCACTATGTACTTCTTACAGTGGCCAACTTTCTCTTTCTAGTTTTCCCTTAGGGATTTTGCTATTTGTAAGTTTGTAAGATCCAACATGAGCGAAATTTGATTTTGGCTAAATGATTAGTAGCAATATTAATCAAGAAAACAATGGAGAAACTATAAGTCTAAAAAGTAGCAAATGATTACAACCGCTTCACATAGAGGCTAAGTTGTGGGGAACCTTGGTCTTTTGTTTGTTATTAAGAAAGAGGGCAAGGATTGTTTCATGGCAAGTGAAAAAGATACTGTAGGCTTCCAATCTTCAGAAGCTTGATGCGGAGAATGACTTAAAGTAACTCTCCATCAGATTGAGCTTTTGTATGATTTGTGACTCATTCAAGGTTGTAGTTATGCTCGTGCACAGTTGTTGCCGGTTTAGAGTGCGACAACTTCATTATGTGACAGTAAAGTATGGCAAAAAAGATGACTCTACACTGTTGTGAGCTTGGCGTGTTTAGAATAGGGAAGTATATGTGGAGCTTCTTTGCTTCTACATTTTGCAGAGAATGAACAATTTGAATGCATCAAATGTATCTATGAAGAGAGAGAGGCATCATGCATTACCATGTGAGTGATAAGAATGAAATTGAGTCATGAATAATTTTTTTGAAGTTTACTTGCAAGAATACTGGCAGAAGAATATAAAATTTGCATGAAGAGTCGAACTCTATCTAGTCATCACTTCAATTAAATTGGAACAAGTTGTTTAAGTTTTATTCCTAAAGATAGTTATGATGTATTCTTGATGCAAAATCAAGCCCCAGTATGTAGGGGTGGGCATAGTTTGGGCAAACCCGAAATCCAAACCGAAATCCGAATTTCTTGAATTTTGGTTTGGATTTTCAGATTACGGATTGGATTTTGGATTTAATTTTTAAAATTTTTGGATTTCGGATTGGATAATGGATTTGGTACTTCAAATTTTTGGATATCCGAAATTCTTATACTTTATATTAATCCATCATCCGTATGTCAATATTAATAAGTTTAATACCCTACCCATTAGATATTATCTCATATATTCAATATTAATTACTAAATTACTATGTGAATACTTTGTATTTGGATATGGTTTTACTATTTCCACTTCTTATCTGCCGTATTAATGTCTCTATTGTATTTTTTTATATAATAATTTCATTAATTTAATACTTCATTTGGATGATTGTGGTGAGAATGAGGAACTTTACAGGTAATTTAACATGAGTACTTCATTCGGATATTTATTTTTGTAAAAAGAAGAAACATCTCAACTTATAAGCTCAAAACCGAAAATCCAAAATATCCAAACCGATTAATTCGAAACCAAATTTAAAAAATCCGAACTTATTTGGATTGGATTTGGATTGTCATTTCGTCAATCCGAAAACTGAAAATCCGGACCGAAATTTCATATGCAAACCGAACAGCACGAACGCCTACCCCTACCAGTAGGTTCAGAGCTGATCCACTCCACCC